CTTGTCTGCTATATGACAGGTGTGTGTTTACCTGTTCATTTGCAGGTGTTTTAGCAGTTCACTGCTTCAAGAATAACATCTGTTTTGATTGTAAATGCTATGCCATGCCATTTTAAACCCCAAGTTGTGTGCATTTTTCCTAAAATACATGTAATATAAATTTAATTTTTATGAATAGATAGTGCAACAGGGTGTACTAATTGGTTATTACTTACTGTATCCAGACAAAAGGAGACAGCCTTGTACTGAGAGAACCTCAAAATGGTCAAAAATAAAAACTGAGATGACCAAAATATAACATGATGTGCTCAATTTTGAGTTGAATCTCCACTCAAATATCCGACAGTTGGGATATGTGTTAAACTGTTTTCCATAGGCAAATAAAAGTCTATAAATGTTTAGATGCACATTTTAAATGTGTCAAAGAAACTGATTGTTTCACTTTCAAAAATGCTTCCCGTGCATACTTTTTTTTTTTTAATCGTTCCTCTCGTTTTCATCATGAAATGTAGGTGCACTTGATATGTCTCTATGGATGATACATTTGTGCTGATTCTTTACTCTCTTAGCGCAACAAGTCCTCAAATGCATGGTGCATTCAATTGTTAGTGGAAAGCTGGGATATTTGGCCTATTGGTGGATTAGTACATAATTTCACAAGACATCTTTAACAGCTTGACTAAAATGTATATTTACCAGCTATAGACTGTACACAGTCATACTATTCAAAAAGTATGCCACTTAAGAACTTTCCGGCTCGTCAACTAGTACTACCAAATACTAAATAGCAATAATTTATATGTAACCAGTAAGATTTTATATTAGTATTTTCTTACTATTGAAAGTTTTTGAATTAATATACTCATAATTAATCAATTTTAACCTTGTATCTGAAAAATAATTTACTTTCAGTTCAGCAAGCCCTTCCTGTATTTTGTTTCTATGTGCCACTGTGCCTGAAATGTTCTGGCTTGCTCTCGCCCAGTCTATGGTCTCTAGCTGTTTATGTTGTTCCAGCGGAGGCCATGCGGTGAGCGATGCGGCTGGGACGGGAGGAAGCAGTAAAAAAAAGAAGAAAAAAAAGCCACACAAAGAGGGAGCTATCAGAGGCTGCCATTTGCTCCCTCCACCACATCCTTTGCTTCCTCTTTGGCTTCATTGGTGTTCATCCTCCTGCTCCTTGTTCTCCTTTCCAGTTACATAACGCGGTTCAGGCTGCTGAGAAACCCAGGTCCACTTTACCTGAAGCACAGTGAAGTGTTGCAGTGGTCAAAATCCTGTTGTTCAATCCTGTTGTATCATAGGTGCTGATGAAATCTGAAGTAAAATGACTTCTACATGAAAAATCTTCCAGGTTTGCTCAGTACTTATCCACCTGTAAATTTCTCAAATGTCCTTTTGCACTCACCAGTAAAAATGCCTATTTATACACTCACCGATCTCCTTCACTGACACATTTGTGAAAAGTGTGTGATACATCAAGAAGATGAATGTTTAAGTCCTTTAAAATCTTCAGTTTCATGATGGCTAAAAATGGAAAATGAAGACGGTGAAATATGATCAAGAGCTCCTGAACTGCAAGAAAGTGGCTCTTGAGTGGTGATTCCTTTGAAATGCATTAGGTCTTAAACAGATGCCTAACACTGAATGTAACTCTAAACTGAACCAGAGGGCTGATGAAAATGACTTCACTTTGCTAAAATTTGCTCTCACAGCCTGCAACTCTCATTACTTTGTATAAGTGAAAACACACAAACCAACAAACGCAGTCACAAAATCTTTTGTGCACTGAAGCAGGAGACTCACATGCAAACATTTAATGACCAGCTTCCCCCTTCACTTCCACTTAGATCTCGTTAAGTGCACACAGAACTTGCTTTACAGTGAGCATAAGCGCTGTGTGTGTTGTTAGTGCATTGTGAACATGATCCCATAACATGTTAATAGCTTCCTAGAGGAGGGGCTTCCTGTTTATATTGAGGAAGGAGCTGTAACAACCGGACTTGCCACCAGGCAATTGCACGGTCACAGTTTACTACTGAATGATGATTGTGTGTGTGTACGCATATGTCCTTCAGTTAATTAAACATGGAATTATTTGTGGAAGTAATGCTCTGATGCCTATTTGAAGGACTTGTCAAACCAGTATTGACTATATTATTAAATGAGCCTTATCTGCTCTTCTTTGTCTGTTGTAAATATGGTGGCCGGTCAAGAAAAAAAGGATGTAAAGCTCATTTAAAACGGGGATGTAAATCTTTATCCTTCAGATTTGATCTTTTTAAGGTTCTGTCAACCCAAACCCCCAAAAGAAAAATAGAAAAAAGCTGGTGTCTTTATTTGTGCAGAATTTAAGAGATAAACTGTCAACCCCAGCACAACAGAGGCGTTAAGTTTACAGCACTGAAAGCTGACATTAAGAAACATCTAACATACAGTTTTCACTTCACTTGTTTTCTTTAACATTAAGAAAAATCAATAAAACACAAAGTTTTTAAAATTCTCCTGCAGTTTAACAGATCAGATCCTGTGTTTCACAGGTTTTTCAAGAATGTCAAGAAGATAATTCTGTTTTTGCTTTAAAATATGCCCTGCTGTTAAAATAACTCTTCTGTTTTCAGATGCTAATCTTGGCCACAAACCTTTTTTCATGTAATATTATTTTACCTGGTAAACCTGCTTGTTGCCCCAAACCCAGCACAAGCTGGAAAGCAAACGCCTTTAGTGCCCAACTGAACAACTTCTCTTATTATTTTACTGCTCCTACACCATTTCTAAAAAAAAACATGGGATTGTCTTTTCAGACATTCCATGGTAACCCACGCGAGGTGGATGAGGTGATAAATGGAGGCCAGAAAAAAAAGAGAAAGGAGGTGAAAAAGAAGAAAGACTGCGGGGGAGAAGGGGGCCCTCCACCCACGCCTATTAAGTTGCAGTATAGTACTGGCTCTCACTGGTCTCAGCATATGGCTTTAACAGTTACTGATTGTACTTTATTTAAGATGCACATGCACAGAAAGATATTCATGCTACTTCATTTACTGTATGATGTGACACTTGTACAGCCCTTAATCACTGCCTTTGGTTCAGCATCTAAAAATGAGGGCACATGTTGCTGGTAGGAAGATGAAAAAAATGTTTTTAAAAACAGTGTTGAAAAGATTCTCTGAACTGACCTTAGCTAATTGTTTATTTTCATTATTTTATTTATAAGGAATCATAAATATTTGGGAATATGTCTTGGCAATACAGATACGCAAAGAAGTTATCTTAAGTGGTTGCTTACGCTGGAGGTCACAACAGAGACATTGGAATGATGGAAATAAAGCCACAAGTAAAATTTGATTATAAAAGTAATTCCAGTGTGAGCTCCAACCTTTGGGGCCGTCATCTTTTTAAACAAGGCCATGTGTATTTGCAGTCTAACTCTGCCATGCAACTAGGAATCTCCCCCCTGTTCCACACACTACAGCAGCTTGATGCAGCATCACAAATTAGGATATCTTTGCAGAATGGTCTCAGCTTAAACACTTAGGCCTGTTTTTACAGGGTTTAGCATGTTAAAGCTTATCTCCGGTAGAAAGGGGGGCAAAAAGAAACGTAATGAAAAAAGAGAGCTCAGAAGAAGAAAAAAAAACAGTTTACTTCCGCACTGAGAAGGTTCAAAGCAACCTGTAGATCTGTTTGTTGTCATTTGATCCCTAAGCTAAGTTTCTCTCCGTCTGTCTTTTAGCCTTCCTGTTCCTCTTTTTCACTTACGAGAAGCGCAGATGCATGTACACAAGGTTCAGCCTTTTCCATCCCTTTGTGTGCCAATAAAATGGAATTTGTTTCTCCTCAGACTTCCTGTATCCTGAGCACAGCGTGTATCGAATCCTAAATAGTTGTGCTTACATGACATATTTTTATCCCATATTTAATACAGGTGACTATTTCAGCAGTGCTTTTACAATGCAATTATAATGAAAGCTCTTATGGCTGTTTTTGAGAGAAAAACATAATAATCAAGTCTTAAGCACTTCCTAAGGCTTCCTGCTTGCACAGATTGGGTTAAGACTTTCAATTTAACTGCTAAACAGGAGTTGTCTTCTTTTTTTTTCTGCCTGTAAACACATTGTGCAGCTAAAAAGAGGAACAGCTCTCTTAAATAGCTGATAATGCAAAGTTAAAAGAAGTAAACTTTATAGGAATATTTCAGCTTAGAACGTTTGTTTTCATCTATTAAAAAAAGCTATGACTTCCAAATGCAACCTTAATCTCAATATTGTGTGTGCATGACTGTAAAAACACGGGACTAACATCATTTTGTTAGATCTACTTTCTGGCAGTGCGAAGGAAGATTTTTTTCAACATTGTAAAGTACAGGAATCATAATTTGAGACGAAGACCCTGAATACCTCACAGTTGCCTTATCAGGCTAATCTCAAACTCAGCTTTTTTTTTTTTGACTTCCCAGAAAACGAAAGAAAAAAAAACATAAAACAAAACAGAATATAAATCTCTCCAACTCCCTTCCCACAAATCCTGCTGGACTTCCGATGTGGCTCCGTTTCAGCGTTTTTTCCCCCCCTGTTCTTTTTTCTTTGGAGTAAGGGACACAATGTGGGAACAGGTCGTCTCAGTTCCTCAGATAAGGAAGCGGTGGACTTCCTGACATCATGGGGTGTTATTGCTCCTGGGCCATGTGGGTTGAAGGTCATTCTAGTGGGACACGCATCCTTCCTGCTTTGCCTCAACCGACTTGGTGAGCCTCCAGAGTACATTTGATCTGAAACCACTTTGTCTTTTGACTTACTATTTGCCGTTCTGGTGAGCACACTTAAGCAGCGACTTGCTCCAAACTGTGTGTGTGTGTGTGTGTGTGTGTGTGTGTGTGTGTGTGTGTGTGTGTGTGTGTGTGTGTGTACGCAC